CGAAAAAACAATGTAAACACCTCTATATATAACTCGCTAAGTGTGCCTGCTGGTATATGATCGATGTGTCCGATGGGTATGTTTGACCGGAAATTCATGACTCCTATGTAATCAGAGCGTTAAAACTTCGAAGTGATGTTGTGGCACGAAGGGAACACTGATGTTAGGTGGCAAGAAGTGATAAGAACTATTGGATGCTGATAGGGAGTCTTTAAAAAACAAGAGCCTCTGAATATTTAGTGCCCTTCGCATTTACAGCGAAACCTTGGCACTTTGGTAAGAGGTTTCGGATGGAAAGGAGCTTGAATTGTAAGTGACAGAAACTAGTGACTAGAGACAAAGCAGAGCGACAGGTTCCAGTGAGACAAAGAAGTAGCTAAGAGAGCCCAGCTTTCGACATTCAAGGGCAAAGAGTACTGGATTGCTACTCACAAGAGCATTTCCCAAACCATTACCGTGATAAATCGCTGTAAGCACATGGCTATGAGGAGATACCAAAGACTCCTATCATCCAGAAAACATGAACTCAAATTCTAAATGCCTAAAACACTTTTGTGACACGGAAGCGATATGAACTTATTCCAAAACACCTCATGTTCCCACTATGTTGCATCTTGCATCTTTTATGGAGTCACTAAGAAACTGTATAGAACCTTGATGATGGTGGTGGTCCAAGCTCCGGAAACCTCAATGAAATGCGAAGTGTTTACAAAACTCCCCAATCCATTGGGTTCTCCATTTCTTTTGTGTTTTCTTGCAGGACTGGGCATCGAAAACTTCGGATAGAGCTCCGAAACAACTAGGAAATGCGAGCATCCCGATGAATATATGAGAATCGAGGGCCAGTGGAGAAGACAACGTCTATTTGACACCGACTTCTTCATTTCGATTGTACATTTCTTACTGCCTTGGAGCGTGCTCTAGAGAAGTGGGCCTTGTTCCGGGAGGACTGCCATTCGATCAGTATTATTTAATGCGTTGGTTAAAAATTACGCTGTGATTCTGCCGATACACGAAGTCCGTCAGCATCAGGAAATTCGGTAAACCGAACATCGGCAAAGATTGAAGCTAAGATGCACTCTCACTACACAAAACACTCCTTTGCAACAAAAATATCGAACATTCCCTGAAACGGAAATGTCTTTGGCTTAATTGGTGGTTCGCTGACCGGAGCGTGACAGAATGATGCTCAACCAAATGCAGGGGTCCTCTCGCAGAGGCAATCAAGCTTTTTCCATGTTAGCTCCACTTAAAAGATTAATTATAGGTGAACATTACTTTGTATCCTTTCTGCAAAAAGGTTTCCTGGACTACAGTGAAATACAGGGGAGCCGTGCTACTGTAGTTTGCTCGAAAAAATCGATGATCAAAAAGAGGAGCTATGACACGGAAGATCCTTAGAAGCGATGAAGATGTACTGCAAATCGGCATATTTTTTTAAATAAAGTTGTACGTTTCCTTTGATTTTCTTGATTGTGATGCACTAGCGTTCTCTCTGTACATAGAACCAGCTGCTTTTGCTAACTTAATGCCCAGATAATGCATAGGTTTTCACGGCCCCTGAGAACCAATACGATCGTACCCTCCTGCAACCTACGACGGCCACAAGCTCTGAAATCGCATTGTTCACACCAATTACGAGCTGTCAATCAACGCAGTCACAAGCATCCAACATCTCCCGTTTAAACCTATGCAAAAACTTGCAACCTATGGTGCTTGCAACATCTGTGACTACAATTGCGAGCTATTTTAGCCAAAGCAAGTGACGGTTATCAATGAAGAATTGTCCAACAACCCAACAAAAGAAACGTACCTATGAGCACTGTTGACGCATGAAGAGGTAATGAAATTCCGACAAATGGAGAGCAGATGTTCAGCAACCAATGAGGACAGAAAGGCAAAATACGAGCACCGAGCAGAAACATGAACAGCTGGTGCTGCTCCAACATAACCTATAATAAATTAATGTTTCATGGTCGATTTGAATTCTTCGCTTCCTACTGCACCAAGTAACCACATGCCAATTCAACTGTTTCAATATGTAGTTCTTCAACCTTCTTAACATTACATCTAACACGTTGGTCCTCCTAGAACCCGCAAGGAGTCACTTAGTAGGTATGAATTTTAAAAGTTGGGCTTATGTTGAACGCTATTTCTTATGCAAATATTTCGAACTATGGGTCACGTCGTGTCTTTAAACTTGGTAATCTAGAAGAACTGAAACTGACAGTTCAAAGTCCCCAAAGAGATTTCACTGCCAATAATTGAATATCATAAAAGCCTCTGGCCTATAACTGCAACGTCCACGTGGTACGATATAAGATATGAATTCAAGTTCGGAACAGTAGAGTACTCTAGCATTTTCATAAAAACTAATGAAAAATGGCCGTAGTACTTAACAAAGAGTAGTGAAGCGAAATGCGAGCGGAATGTCTTACCTTCCTTCGAAGAGCCAATAACCGTTGCCGAAAATATCGGTCGACAATAGGTCGCATAAAGAGAAGAGAAAGTATGTAGCAAAATGAGGCACCAACAGCATTTAAAATGCAAACAAGGACAGTCCCAAAATACACACCAAAAAGAGCACCAGCAAGAAGGTTCTGAAATGTGCCAAATCAGGTTTCTCTATGGTCATGAAATAAGCAAAGACAACAGAAAAGTGGCGTCCAAAGCTGTTACTCCAATCACAAATTCACATTAACTCTTCTTTACACCACTGGTACTCCTGCACTATTCGAAAAATTAAGTACCTTCGATAACATAACCTCTCGTAAACAAATATGAATACTCATAAACAGGTTGTTAATAAACTTGACTGTGATAGTGAAGANGAAAACACCCTTGGCGCCAAATTGGCGCCAAATGGCGCCAGCGCCAAAAATGAAGGTCATATTCGTTATCAGGGCATCGGATTACCCCTATAGGCGAAGTTTCATCGAAAACTAAAATTTTGAGTTTTTGGGGTTGTAATAGTGGAATAGTACCAACTCTTCTTTACACCACTGGTACTCCTGCACTATTCGAAAAATTAAGTACCTTCGATAAAATAACCTCTCGTAAACAAATATGAATTCTCATAAACAGGTTGTTAATAAACTTGACTGTGATAGTGAAGAAGGCTTAGGCGAAGGAAACTCAGGAAACACTCCTAGGCTATGAATAACGGACAATAGTGCCCAAAAGATATCACCTTAGAAGAAATATGGGATAAAACGGTAGAAATTGTAAAAACCACTATACTTACCAAGAAAAAAGATCCTGGAATAGCGAATGCTTGTTTGTACAAATAAGCGTAACCAAAGAGCAATACAGTATATGGAAGATGAGCGTTCCTGAAAAGTGCCGTAGACAATCAGGATTTCTCGGTGTCTTAAAGCCATGAAATAGTGTGACATGTTGAGCGAAAAGGCACAACCAAATATCAAAAGAATTTGTTTAATAAACCCAAAAGCCTAAACCCACATTATTGCAGTATACCCTAGATGGTCTCAACAAAACTTCTATCCCAAAAGAATGATAGGAACCGATCTATGTCGAAGACTTATCAAAAATTGTGATATGTTAAGGCAACGGAGTTTAAGGTTGGCACGTTTAAGGTTTATAAGTGATTGCCAGGGAAAGCTGTGGAACAGGACCAAGGGCACCTGACGAGATCGATANATTATATGCAGTATTTGTTTAACAAGGACTATGGTCTGGAAAAGCTCGTGAATACCAAGCATAAACCACACCATTAGAAAAAGCAAACAGCGCCCTTCTTTTCTTCCACTTTATGGACTGTTGCATGTGAAATCTCCGAAATAAACACGCTGAACTCACTTGTAGTGCTCACACAGATCGGCCAGTTCTCGAAGGGCATCGAGATCCTTCGGGAAGGCCAAAGCCGTTTCTGAATCCGAAGGAGGGGCGACACTCCAAATGAGGAAGAGAATCAACGATGCCGTCGCAAATGTCGCCGCCAAACCGACAAGGCGAAACATCGAAGCGGGAGCCTCGCCTTCCTGGCCCTGGAACTGATAACACGAGTAATAAATCATATCGGAGTGGTCACTGCTCAGTGAAATGACACGAAATAAGCATTCCACAGCACCGGATGACATACCAACATACCATAGTGGGCACCTCCGTCACCTCAGGGCTCTTTGCGGTGCTTTCAGATATAGAACCTTCTCGGTCCCCTGGGGAATGAGAACAATCCTCTACCGACTTCTGGGAGGGCAGAATGAGAATGGTGAGTGATGATGAGTGTTCCGCACGCATATCCACGACACGAATCCATGATAAACCGTGTAAAGCGAACACACTCATTAATCATGGGCTATCATTCTTCGAAAGCCTGTTCTAAGCAATGCAGTGTCACGATTCGGGTCATACGTCCCACTCGGATGCGTGAGTCCCAAACTCACTGCTTAGGGGTTTGAAAGTGGTCAGTTCTTACAGCTCATTTTCGCGTTAGCCCGTACAATAAACGCATTACAATGAACAAAAAGGTAACTGCTCAAATCGATAATTGGCTCCAGTAACGGAGCGAACCATTGCCCATGAGGGTGGTGTAACAAAATCCGCAAGACGCACAAAATATATTCTACCGTTAGCCAGCAGCCGCGCTGTTACTGAATCGCTTGACTAATACTTTATTGAACAACAATTTCGGAGAGACCAGGCTTTTTATGGACCGGAATACACGAAAAGCACGACATAAGTTCATTTTACTAAGCATCTTATCAACAAGCTTGACTTCTAGTAACCAGAACAATAATCTAAAATCGGATATAAATGAAACAAAACGAAACTATAAATGTAACTATGACAAACAAAGAGCTCAATAAAGTAGAAGAAAACAGCCGTACACATAAAACTTCAACAAAAAAGTCAGTTTCATTAATTAACCAAGACAGAACAACGAAACGAGTTATAGCATTTGGCGGAACGTTAAGCACTAACAAAAGAGTCGAAACCATCCGCCTACTCGCTTAGTGCTCCATCGTCCTCATCGCTCGAAGACTCCGTGCCATCCTTTCGCAGAAAGTGTGCGTACACCAATGTCTCTGTCTAAATGGAGAAAAAGTGACCCCTCAACTCGCCATTTTTCTAGTTCATCATAAAAAATTACAACTTTATTTTAGTTATCAAGCAGTCTAAGCAATTGTTGCACGTAAAGCAATGTCGGTGGCAGAGGTGGTAGTGGCAAGCGGCGCACTCCCGCACGCATGGTGTGTGAAGTGCGACTTTATCCTTTTACCCTTTGGAGCAATGTTATTTTTCAGACTTCTTGTCTCATTGCTATGAACAATGTGCACGACTAAGGTAGATAATTACATCTTACTAGCCAATCCTATGACCAAAGTCAGGCTTAAATTTGGCATTACATTGGCATTCTATTCACTGGAGCGGGCAATCTCGATCTTAATACCATTACCATAGTTGTATTGCCACACACTACGAATCCCAGATAATCTAGAAAGCAAAGTCGATCAAAAAAGGGCTAAATGGTTGAAAGAGGTTTTTGAAACTCGTCCTTTGAGCGAGCCAAAATCCCATTAACATCATGCGCTTATAGTATTCATAATATGGCCGCTGCACCAATGAATGACCTCATCTGTGGACATTTGATATTCTTTTAGTGAAACCCCGCAATCAATTTTGAACTACATACGGACAAAACTATCCGAAAACGAGCCATTCAAAAATTGTACTACAGGATAATGTCTGATAAGTTTATAAATACCTCCAATCTCACGAATTGCACATTCGTACGCTTGTATCCAGGAAGTTCGCGATCCCACAACTGTTGTTGAGCCTCCCGCCCCTTCGTAGAGTTGTCATTAGCGAAAACTGTCATAAGAAGCTTGCCAGGGCTAAACACTATGAATCATTGCAGTGGAGTTGCCTTCGATCGAAGTACACTTACCGGAAGCACTTGAGCACCTCTTTCGTCTGCTTGTACAGGCAAACGATGTCCTGATTCGTCTCAAAGGATGCGAATGAAAACTCCTTCTCTGGTGTTACGTGGATAGTGGCATAATGATCCTGAAAGGTGAGTCGTCAGTGTTACGGAAACTTCTAGAGTAGGGGAACTGATGTCACGTACTGATTTTGGTAGAAATGCGTTCATGCTATATCCACATGGGTCGAACAGTTCCTCGTGAATGAGCGTCCCATTCGGAACGATATGGTCTATGCCAGCACGCTAAAAAGAGAACCTTTTAGGAAACAACCAAAGAAAAAACTCTTGCACTCACTATACATATTTATAAGTATAGAAAACGAAATAAAGAGTTTCATTGGTAGATTGGCCGTGAAATTGTGAAAAGAATTGTCATGACCACTTAGACTGTCAGATGAGCGATGGCGAGGAGCACGTAGCACGTGGCGAAACTAGCATACGCATAAGCAGTAAACTCAGTATCGCACCCTTTCAGTCCAACTAAACCTTTCCACCATCCTGGATCGTCTAGTTGGTATCTATCACCTGGGAGGACAAACACGCTTACTTACTTGTTCATAGGCCGCTGGGGTTTTTGTACACGAATACGCATCCAACCGCAATGCTGAACGAAGTCGAACCCATGGCAAATCTCAAGAACGGAATAATCTAAGCAGGAGCTTTTATGACCGTTGCATCGTTATTAAAGACTAAAGACTACACATACATGAGAAAGCAAATGGATCAGCCGAATGATACCCGCCGATTCCTATAACAACTCACTACTGAAAAGATTGTGGAAGATGTCTGTACTGCAAAATAATAGATACGTCGACAGCGGCTAGAGATAATCGCTAACGCTTTTAGGGGCTTTCTTTCTATATAATTTGTAATGGAATAAACACATTTTGAAGCAAAATTAACAAAACAAAAAACTACCTCGGTACAGTCCCTCGCATTCTCACACGCTTCTTTAGTGAAAATATGTAGAACGTCTTCATCAAGGTCTGTCATGAGTATTTCTAAGGTGTGGTCCTAAAGTTCGCGTTTTATGAGAATAAGATGTTTACGAGATCCAAGACGAACGAATCAAAGCACAGTCCGAATTGATTAGGTCCAAGAACCGTCATGGTGCAAAAATGCTCAATAGGTCCTCGAAAGAGTCTCGTGCAAGACAAATGAAACTGACACTAGAACGAGAGCAGTTCCCTTCAGTCAAGAACATGAAAAAAGATGTCCTTAATTGTCATTTCTTAGGACGTATGCATCTCAGTTGAACGGGATCAAACGAAAAACTAAGTATGAAACATACTGACCGCAAGCTTTGTTATCGGCTGAGGAACGTGGTAGGTGTAGAGATACCAACGATCCTGTTTGAGGGAGCCCATACAGTATGCATGCCCATCTGCAAACGCTTCATTACTCGATCTATTTTTCTAAGCTTTCTGTTCAGAAACCATTGATAAGAGCGCAGCGTGGGCGCCTGCTACCACATTGAGTGTACCTTACCATTTAAATCAATATTCCCAAACATTGGTTAGCAGTTGGAAGAGGGGACTAGTTTGCGGCTCGAAAGCTCAGTATGAGAAGGATGCGGCGAAAACCGCTTGTGCAAGCTTACCATGGAAGAAATTGTCCAAGTAATCAACCTCAGCGTCGAAGGATCGGTGTTCCTCAGGCTGTAGATCAGGGCGTAGGAAGTTTTTGCGAGAATAGTACACCGACACCACCTAATTAGGAAAGCTTACTTATGACTAACAAGTATCATTCAGTACAAATGAAGGATCATTAGAGATTCCACATGATGAGAAAATTGTACCTGATCAAAATCTGCATAATCTGCAGCCAGCTGGATGATCGATGGCAAGGCTGCAAGCAAGCGTGTCCTGCCACATGTCTTCAGGATCAATCGACGTTCCGATACAAAGAGACTGCTTTCACTAAAACCACACCTATATTAGGAAAAAGGTTCTCCAGTATGAAGATGATCTACTAACCTAAGAACGTAGCTGTCTATGAATTCAGTATGTGCCGATTGGAGAACTTTGCACTGTGCAATGTTGAGCATTGCGTCGAGCTCATATCTTGGAATACGGCGGAGGGATCCACTTCTGCCGCTGCTGTTACCAAACCACAGCTCTAGCAGTTTTTCTGCTCCTGCAAGTGGCGGCGAAAAAGATTTCATGTCAAATCCAGAAGGCTTCTATATAATTAAGAAAACGGTAAAACTCATAGAACTCCCAATTACTCCTAAAGTGCAGCCAACTGTAAATTTATGAACTTGATGGTCAACGTAATACAGGGAAACGACAGTTTTTCAGCTATTATAACATTCAAACTTATTCGCCTTTTCTCAAAATAATAGAGTATACAGTCATCAAATAATTAGGCTACATCAGACTATTTCCTGTTAATTTCATATCGTTATGAGGGGCTCAAAACCAGTTTCCAACTAAAGTTCCTAGTTTGTTTGCTGCAACCGACTACTGTCATGAAGGTAACCCGGCTTATCTTAGATTAAAACTGTGCAGATTGCACTCGGGAAAAATTAGAGGGCCGCTAGCTGGTTGTGGTTGCCTGTTGGACCACAGTCTCCGAAGTGAAATGAAAACCACCGAAAGAATGAACGATGCCGATTATAATACCTTCAAAGAAATATTCTTCCACCGGGGTTTTCTCATCGAGTTTGTTAGTTTGAATCACGCTGGACTCCACCTTTGATGACATCTGAACTACGGAAGTTTCACACAACTGTGATGAAGCCTGAACCTTTGAAATTACCTTCTTTCACTTCTTCTGGTTCTCCTGAGCACTGTTTCAGAGGAACACAAATTAGTGGTGAAATCACTAGTAGCTGATTAAAAGTTGCGAAAGATGAGTCTCGGACCTGCTAAGGAGGACGACGGTAAAGCACGAGGATGAGGGTCTCGATGTCTGGACCCATACAATCCTGAAAAAACAACTGATACCAATATACACTTCGGCAGGTGAACAGGTCCTAAAGCACTTAAAAGTCATCACGCTCAGAAGCCCTTACATATTTGATTCGGTTTGAACCAAGGAAAACTACCTTCACAGAGAATCAAAGTTTAAATTCGAGATTTCGGGAATAACAACTGTAGATGGCTGGTCCCTTCTGCGATACACAGCCGCTTTTGTAGTTCCACAACACCTCGCAATTCTATCCCAATTTTTTGGGATAACTGACCCAGACGAGAACGTATTCCCTAACTTCCGAACGTTCCTTTTCCATACAATAAGAAATCAAATTCATGAATCTGCTGCATTAGTTCGCGGATGACATATTCCTTATAGATGGAATATTGACTTATGAAGCATGAAATCCTTGATCCATTGATTCAAATGAAGCTGAACCCCTTGTAAATGGTTGTAAATTGTAAACCCCAACGAACTGCGGTTGGAAGGTTCAAGAAATTAGGGGAAATGATAAGGCGTGGTATGCTACCGTAAGCCAGAAGAATCAAAAAACCGTATTTGTTTCAGAAGTGTCCATCACTCATGCATGGTGTTCACCATTGAATTCCGTGCAGCTGTTACTGTCACTCTGAGGAAAGCAGTAAAAAGTCAAGAACCACAAAAAATGAATAAGATGATAACCCAAAAATAGCCCCTCCACTGGTAGTGATGAGTGTTCACATAATTCTTGCTTCATCTTAATAAAATCATCATAGAAGAGTAACACCTTTTCAAAATCCCCATAAATCATATTAATTTGTTAAATTATATTGACACAGTGATCAATCTGACTGACACTCGAAATAACCATTATGACGTTATAATCGTTATAATTCAAGTGATTGTACAGTACAGGTCGCTCCAAGACCTGTTGCTGTACAAGCACTCAAATTCCGAGAGAGCTTACTGAAGTTCAGACTTTGTTCACAACTCTTCCACCTAATGATGCATTACGATGGTAAATATTAGCAGGCAACTAGTGTGGGTGCATTCAGGTATTGTCATTGCACTGACTGATTTAAAATACCACTACTGGTCTTTTTTTAGGTGTTTCTGCTACTACTGGAGCTGCAGGAGGTGATAAAAAAGTTAGCAAAAGCAAATAATCGAAAGTTTTTACTCGGCGAATCACCGTGGAAAAAAGTTAAAACAACTGCTGCACGCCTGTTCAGCAGTAGCGCCACGTACTCCCCACATCTAAAAGTAGCCAAACAAGTTCAAGGGGACACCTTACATTTACACCTTACTACACACGTCATTCTAGAAGATTCCTTGCAATTTCACCCCAACTCACCTCTTTAATGCTATCGAAATCGATTTCTCTGATCGCTATCGACTGCCAGAGAATAGAGCCGGGGATCTTTCCTTAGGGAAGAAAGAGCAACGCAATAGCTTTGTGACGGTTTGAAGCCGACTGGGATTTTGGCGAGGACGAACCTGTAAGTGCTAGTCGTTATAAAGCATTACGTCATAGCTCTGGGGAGAAATACCATAAATAAGCCATTTCTGAGGTATGAATGGGTAAAGAAGTTAAGGAACCAGCAAGTTTGGGAAATGGAATAGCATGTGTAGGGCGATATGGCCGTGAAGTTGGATAGTGCGCCTGAAGACGTCGCAGACGCAACGTGCAAAAAAGCGAAAAAATGCACAGAGGAAGTTTCTGCTATATTTTCTTGGGTAAGGTAGAAGTAATTTGCTGGTAAAGCTCAAATCCAACACCAGGGATCTCTACTGCGCTCCAGAATCTGCACCTGGCTGTAAGTACATTATTTTTAATGCTATGGACACCTAGTTATGCATGCTTTCTCTGTTTTTCAATACCATTCACGTTATTTGAATTTTTGATGTTATAGAACAGCAGTCAAGCGTTATTAATGATTGCCTCCTAGTATTTAGTGCATTTAATTGATAACAAGCATTTCCCAGACGAGAATGGAAACGATATGATGGAAACGATATGGCGCTCGTTCGAGAAAATCGATGAACGACGGGACGACAGGTGATACAGATGATCCTGGACCGTACTGTGGGCATGTAAGTGAATGAAAGAATCAGAAGAATAAGAATTTTGAGAAGAAACTGAAAATGAAAGCTGAAAACGATCTTTGCTCAAGTACGAGCCATTACGGAAAATTTGGAACGTTGACAAAAGGCTGGTGGTATTTCTTGCCCTTGGAAGTATGCAGGGTGGTAGTATTTCTTACTCTGCTCACCACAGGACGGTAACTGGGCGTAGAGTGGATAAAAAAAGGAACCTTTTTTTTGCAATAACTAGTCACTTGGAATCTTGAAAGCTCGCAAATGCTACGAAAAGAGAGGGCATAGCTACGTCTGAGGTGGCAAAATGAAAAAAAAGGTAGGAGATAAGCATGTTCAAGGTAGAAGCTCGACTGTAGTGGCACCCTAAGCCGCTGCTAAGATCGTTGGAGAGCGTCACCAACCATCCTTGTATTACAGCAGTCTGAGGTGGATGCTAGTTTTTTAGTAGCACCACAACTCCACAATATCGAGGCACCCCCTAAGTTGCCGTGCAGCAGCCGCACTGCAGCTTTATTTTCTCGGCAGCCATCCTATGCATGTCGTGGGGTACCATAAGAGCACCATAAGGGTGACGAAGTACTGAAGGGGTTCCCTACAAAGCATTGAAGTATTCACACAGGTGGGGATGGGGCAGTAACACAACCAGAAACCGATTAGTTTCCTGCTACAGTTAGCAGTTGGTCTCTATCACATCAATCATTAACGTTTACTATTTGAGGCTCTGCACAGGTGCGAAAACAAAACCTCGTCTAGAAGCTACAAGAATATGTCTAATAAAGGGATGCACGGGTAAAGTTTATGCTCTAGTTGGCGGAGGCTCCCGTCATCCCTCTTTCCTATCATCTGCCTCTTTTATCTTCCTCCGTTCTATTCTTACTCTTGAAGAAAAAAAATTTTTACCACTGGCATTCACTTCCCACAACCAGTGTTGCTATGAGTTGAAATAGTATTATGATGTAAGTGGTGACTTATATGTAAGCGGGTGTTATCACTGGTGTGCATAACCTTAGATTGATACTGCAAAACTGATTGATTCCCATTCTGTCAGATTTGGACAGTACCCTCATCCTAAGTCCTAACTTCCAGGTAGACAGATAAACAAGTCGACACACTAGGAATGACAAACCAAGCGGATTATAAGTCAGAAAACTCGTAGGCAACCGGATAGAAGGCCGAAAGACAGATAAAGGCCGAACGTTTTTGCTCGTCATATGAGATTCGCAGAACGAGTAATCATTCCGAAGTTTCTAGAACACATGATGGTGCGGAGATACGGTAGTGACTCAGATGCACCACAGAGATGAAATTTTTTTCGATGCGATTCATGGATTACGTTGTCATCCCTCGGAGTTGTGTCGTCATCACGATTGATTGGAATGTCACTGACAGGAATCTAATCAGCCGAAGTTCTGTCGAGCACCTTACCGGATAACTAACAGTATCGAAGTTAAAAGTTGTGTACCCAGCATTCTTCGCTTCCTTTGATACATACCAATCGCTCCGGGCTCTTGCAGGTTTCCAGCTTCCATTTTGCATANACAGAGATGAAATTTTTTTCGATGCGATTCATGGATTACGTTGTCATCCCTCGGAGTTGTGTCGTCATCACGATTGATTGGAATGTCACTGACAGGAATCTAATCAGCCGAAGTTCTGTCGAGCACCTTACCGGATAACTAACTGAATCGAAGTTAAAAGTTGTGTACCCAGCATTCATCGCTTCCTTTGATACATACCAATCGCTCCGGGCTCTTGCAGGTTTCCAGCTTCCATTTTGCATAGAAACTTTTGAGACTGGGAAAATGAGTGTGGGTTACTCAATTAGACGACAAGCTCGTTAGACGCGCACTTCGCGATGAAAGTGGTTTCTGAGTTCTACCCCTAGAAATGCCCTGGGGCCCCCATAGGTAACAGGAAAAATGCTGTCGGGTCCAAAAACTCAACAGCTAGTGCATATTGGGAGCCCCATTACCGTACCGCCCAGATGCCACGCCTATCGACCGTTGATGTGCCAGACAAGTGTCGAGGCGATATAGATTGCAATATTCGCGCCAGGACCTACACGTTCAGCACGCAACCAGCTGATCGCCGAGTAGGAGGTGATGTTTTCCCCCTTTTCTGTTATACTTTTTGCTGCTGCAATCCTTTATTTAATTTTCTACCTCAAGA